GGTAAAAGAGAAAAAACAATGATACCTGAAATTTAAATTTAACCACTCACATTGAATAATTTCGGTACATATGTAGGCTTATGTGTCTAATAATAATATTCATGGTATTTGAGTTTATTCTGACAGATGTGAATTGACATCATCTTGAAACTTTGGGAAACCCTTTACTTTTCAAATTCAGTTTAGGGCTTGATGTGTTGTGCTGTGATATTACTATACTATCACATTCCAGTATAGATGAGATACTCTCGGCCATCTTTGCTGATATACATGTATAACTAATGTCTGTCAGTTCATTATACAATGCACCATATCGACTTGGTTAAGCTACCGTACTCTCACTCTGAAACTAGACAATAATTTTTTAAACAAATTTTAATAAAAAGTCTCATGCTTTTAAAAAAAGTCAGTATTCAAGAAGTTACCAATGTTACTTCAGAGGAGCCCTTACTCCAGCAACATTCTTGAAAATTTCTTCAAAATTGTAAATTTGCTTTTACTGCTACCCCAAATCCACCTGCATTAAAAAAAACAACAACAAGCCAGCTACACCTATGACTTTATGAGTGATTACATGTTCAAGGTCACATATTCTTACATTTCCAACAACATTCTCTTTTAAAGAATACATTTTTCTTCAAGTGATGGGTCGGAAACAGAAAATTTCGATCATGGTTTGCCACTTATTTCATTGCTCAGAAATTCTTATTGGAACTATTAATTATTATCTTGGTCTTTTCTCTGTCACTCATCTTTTTATGTGAGAATGGGCCTACATTATTGTTCCTAAATGTTTGGGTACACAGGAGTAAATTTTTTTTTACCTCGTGTCTTAACTGTTACTAAAGGTTTACCCTTCTCTATAATATAAAATGTGTCACAACGCAGTGGAATCAGGCGCTCTTCAATTTTGGGACATGTATAGTTATTGGTATCATCTTACAGCTTGTTCATTTGTCTTGCTTTTGGTGCAAAAATATGCATCAAACTTGAATGGTAGTCGAGAGAGTTGTGGTTTCATACCAGGAAGAGACGAGGACAGTTTGAATCTGCCAGATATTGTTATATAAAAAATCGCGACATCAAGTCACGAAAAGAAATCGTAAAGCAAGACTGTGTGTTCACTTCTTAAGTTGGACAAAGAAATTTACTCTCATAGCACACTGTCAATATTTGTAGAGTAATTCTGTAATTAACATGATGTCGACCAGTGACAACGTGCTAGACTAACTACGATACTTTAACCATCATTGCGATATCAAATGACTAGACAGCAAACTACATAAGTTCGATCGGTGAACATCTGGCCAGCACTAAAGCAGTGCAAATACATTTCTTACACAATTCTCTCTTTTTTTAAAAACCAAGCCCACTCCCCCATTCACGTCCGTTTTATCCTCGCTCCCGCCTGCTCTTACACATCAGCTTAGGCCTACCCATGTTAATACGCACTGTCAGAAATACACACTATACAAGTGATATTATGTGATATATTATTTTTATGACCCTGGTCGATCGATTGATCATGATCAGATGATGTTTGTTTGCAAACAAGACCGAGTATGTTTGCACTGATGCAACAGTGACCAAGTGTCATTTGTCGTCCACAATAGCTCGCAGAGATCAGCGCCGAATGAGCAGTGTGAGTGATCCTTGACTCTTGCCCGATCAACCATTCTGACTCGTCATTCTACCACAGACCTATGCCGCCCAATAAAATTGTACAAGTAATTATTGTGGATTTTATCCAATATGTGTACTTGTTGTACCCAGCACCATATATAGATGAGTCTATTAAAGTTGACCAATAAGTGAGCTCTATAAGCAATGATCAATAAGCTATTAAGCACAATTTTAACCCGGCGAAAGTGATTAACTTGCCACTTAATATCTTTAAATAATTTTCCTCGCTTTTGTTTGTTCATTTTCAGTTTTCTATTCTCCCTTCTCATTCACAGCACCTTCCCCTTTTTCCTTTTCTTAATTTGTGTTAACTTTCCAGGGGCGGCTCGTCCATTGAGCACGGTCGTGCACTGCCGCCCAAAAAGACTAGTAGACATAGCAGTGCAGCTAGAGGTTGGTCATCTCATTGCAAAGTCTCACAATGACGAACGGGTGAGAAAGAACATGCACGTATTATGTAATTATCGAGTTTATTTTGATCTGTGGAACTCATGAACTGGCCCTTCACGGTCAGGAAAAGGGCGATTTGTCGGGGAACAAAGGTATTTTTCTTGATTTACGGCTCAGAGACGTTAATACTGACAGGATACTGTTTGATCATCTGCAAAGTGCTACTGTTGCAAAATGTCCTTCCAAAATAATACAAAAGGAACTGCTGGACTGTATTTTCAAAATATACCACGAAGAACTGGATAAAGACATAATATGCTCTGCCAAACTTTCTTTCTGTCCAGGCTGATGAAGCAACTGATGCAGGTCATTTGTCACAGGTTTTTAAAAATCATCCTGGGGTATATTAATTAATGACGGAAAACCAGAAAAGCGGTTTCTAAAGCCTTCTCGAAGCCAAAGATAGAATTTCATCAGGGTTCATTTCAACCCTGAACGAAGCTTCAGAACCATTCAGCGCCGAGGAGAAGCTGATCTCCCAAACCTGCGATGGGGCAGCTGTAATGAGCGGGAGAGTCCCTGATGTACAGACTCAGATGTGCCAATTTTTCCATTATGCTGTCTTTGTTCATTGCCATGCACACCAGCTGAATCTTGTTTTAAAGCACTCTTGTTCAGGACATATCAGACTGCAGGATATTTTTCGCTAACTCTGCAGGCTTTTGGGCATTATTTGCCCATTCTACAAAACGCATTGACGTTCTCAGACGCGTTCGTCACCGGAAAATTCCACGGCCGTCTGAAACAATGTGGAATTTTCTGTCTCGACTCATTAGCACAGTTTTCACTTGGAAAGGAGAGATCCAGCTCTGTCTTGAGAAAATTCAGTCTGAGCACATGACTCTTCTTTTTGCACTTGTTTAAACAAAGTGTTCACGCACGTTGACGCTGTTTATGGGATCCTCCAACACAGAAGTACAACGCCCATAGCAGCCCAACAAGCTCTAGAAACATTTTTAAAGCAAGCGAAGAAGAAATTAAAGACAGTATAAATGTTTAATTAGTAAATAAGACCATAGAGCAACAAGCTTCCAAGAGATGCAGACATCACAAAACCAACAAAATTGCGGCAAATGAGGCCTGTGGCATAATACAGACCTCAACATAAGTAAAGGTCCACCTTGACAGACAGCTCTGATTTTTAAAAAATTCGAAAAAAAATACAGCAAGGAATGGTTCATAATTTTTTGGTCTGAAAGTGTTAATGGGTTACCAAAGCGTACAGTCAAGCTTCCTAAAGGGGCAAAATCATCACGTGCTGCACGGAAATCCTTAGGGAATTTTAGCCAAATTGGCTGTTTAAAAAAAAATCGATTTGTGTGCGACACTACGGACATTCCTCAGTAAAAATTTCTGATGCATGGTCATAAACGGACGTTTGGTCTCGAACTGTGCTCACTTTGGTGGCAATATAAGGCGCCCTTTGCGCAAAATCCAGCAACGTATCAACATGCCACCAAGACGAAAGCTGAGGGACTCTGATCGTGCCAGAGCTATGGCATGGCTGCAGGATGGAGTTGAAGCCCGAGAAGTTTCCAGAAGGCTTGCAGTGTCATTTTCAGTCAGTGTCCGTTTGAGGCAGCGCCATCAAGCCACTGGATCAGTCCAAGAACGCCCACGTGCAGGTCGACCCAATAAGACCACTCCGGGTGTTTGCAAGTGGTCCTTAACTTTTGTTGAAGTCTGTAGTTAATTTACTTGTTGACCATTTCTTGAAGCAAAATACAATCAATACGCTATCAATCTTCGAGCTCTCCAAATTCCAGGAATGTCAAAAGTCGTTTCCTATAGTTCTTTTTGATCGTATACATGTAGCATAAAGCTACTCTGCTTTGCATAAAATCAAGTTACAAACAGAATTCAAATTACTGCAAAGAAACATTTAAGTCTGCTCAGTGTCATACAATCCAGGACCTCTATTTAACTCTGAAGGACTACAAACCCGACACAACATTTAGAGAAGTATGCAAAATCCTAGAAATCGCACTGATGTTTTTATGTCGATCCACAAGGACACAATTGACAGCATCCCCAACTTTGTCAACAGAATGATGGACACCTTTGCTGCAGCAAAAGAATGAAGTGTGGACTTCTTCACATAGATTTTCTCTAAACAGGTAGGATGAAGAATACATTTCATTTACAATGACCTTGACTATCTTCAACTAGCTTTAAGTCTATTGTGTACGTCTACTTTTTAGACCCATGAGCCGCCCCTGTTTTAAACAACCTTAGCAATTCTCGTGGTCACACACACACACACACACACACGCACGCACACACACACACACACACACACATATATATATATATATATATATATATATATATATATATATATATATATATATTATATACACACACACATACACAAACACACACCAAGCAGTTGGCAATGAAACCAACCTCGAATCGCCTAGTGACGTGGCCTATCACGCACTATGCGACAAAGCGGGGCCCGCCACGGTGTGGACAAAAGCCCAAAGAGCAAGTGCAATATTTTGGTAGTGGAGAATCTTTGCTCACACTAGGCCTACTCATTCCTCTGCTCAGATCCCTACAGTTGCCGATCTGTGTCCCGTGGGGGCAAAGAGCTAAATAAAACGTTTTTCAATCAAGTTCACACAGAAATGTGTTTTTAAATTGATCTTAAAGGCCTTGAGTTTTAAAAAAACCAACAAAATTTCTATAAAAATAACCAATGGGGCAAAAAAATGCCAGTTTCTTCGATTTCATTAGATGTACTTTGACGAACGCCTGATTTCACTATGACGCCTCACATATTATCTTTTTATCTGCATAATACATACTTCTAAATGCATCAGAGACAACAATGAAACATATGATACTGAATACAGAAGGCTAAGTTCATGTCCAAAAACAGAGCTTTAATATTAAATAGTTACAGTAGGCTACATTATTTTCACTTCACTATTTTCTCTTGGGCAATTACTTAAGATGAATTATAAAGTAGAAAACACTCCACAAAAAAGAAAAAAAAATAAATGAATGAAAAGCACAGCACTTTAGACAAGTAAAATTTATCACAAAGATATCACAGTACAGTCGACTACTGATGAGTTGATGTCAAGGGAGTGAAAAAAACCCCCCAACTCCTCCCAAGCTCAATTTCGTCCAGATCACAAAATCAAGGGACATAACAAAACATTTTCCACTGTTCGTATTTTAATTTGTAGTACGTTTAAGTTGAACTCAACCGTTTGATATTAATTAACAAATGTAAAGAAGAGGAAGTGCTGGGACCCAAGAAAAATATCAATTTAACCGAAGATCAGCTCAAGCGAGTTCAACACAAAGATGTCCTATGAAGTAGCAAAGTTGTACCTTAACCTCATTATCCTTGCAGCTTGTAGCTACACAATTTGTTACTGCCAGTGTGCATCTGAGAGGCAGTGCAAAGTTCAAGAAGATTTAACATTAACACTAAAAACAACAATCTCTTAAAATCTCTACACAGACACTGTGCTGTATTTTCAATGATGACATATAATTTGATGAAAACAATACAATTTTTTATGTGTTCCTTTCAAGGCACATTCTATCATTCCTTATCTTCATAAACCATTTTACATAATCTTATGTGAAACAAGTAGCAAAAATGCCTGTCATTATCTTAATAAACCTGACGAAACAAGTGCTTTCCATGAATAAAGAAACCCATAGCTATCATAAATATTTCACAAGACCCAAAGGCAAAAACCACATCTTAAGTGAAGGGTTCTGACATACCGGGCAGAAGTGTCCCCATAAAGTCTCTTTATCAGAAGCAGGGAAACATCTTGCTGAAATGTCAATGTATACAAACAAAGCACATTGGAGAGGTGTATAGAGCACTATAAAGACAGGGACAAGAAAGGAAACAAAGGTTATGTAAGCTAAGCATCCAGGTTGGAGAACAAAAGCAGCCTGACTGGTGACATGAGAAAAATTGAAACCAAGAACAGAAGACCCAACATTTGAATTACCAGCAGACGAAAGACAAAAAAAGGTCCAGCATCTGTGGTGTGTGTGTGATGGTTAAGCTGTGTGCCTGGCAACGGGTTAATAAAATTCAGAAGTGAAGAAGATATTTTATCTAGATTTTCCATCTTTCTGCTAGGATACGCATGCAGTATTCAATACAGCTTTGCTGGATTTGACAAGCATTCTCAAAGCAGCCAGACTGCTTCATGGTCTAAATTGTTTCAAGGAGGAGCATAAAACATGAACAGTAATTGTACTTAAAAGTTCATGAACACCAGCAGCTGCATCCCTAGTCGATGTATCTCAATAACTTCTTCATTCTTGAATCTCAGTCTTGCTTGCTTCTTCTATGTAACATGTCTCTGTAGGAGTATAGTCTCCCTCATAGTCTTTCTAAGAATTCACCAAAATAAACTGGACGAATCAAATTATAAAAGATAAATAAATAAGACAACTCCCCATTCAGCTTTGCAAGCACATTCATAAAAAATACGTAACATTTTTTTTTCCACTAGCAATACATAGCCTATCATCTCAATTAAAAAAAAAATAATGATAAAGCAGCTTTTTCCCCGAAATATCTTATGAAAGAGCTTTCTTTCTAGTTTAGACTCAAGTTTATTCATGAATGCTGGATGAAACCTTCAAATTTGATCCCATGTGTCTTGGTATTAAAAATTATGGAATTACACCCAAATAAAATGTTACATAAAATGGGTCAAAACAAACTTTAAAAGACTGAAAAAGTTAAGGACATAGATCTAAATGCAACAACTTGAAAAAATGATATTATAAGACTGAAAAAGTTAAGGACATAAGTGCAACAACTTGAAAAAATTATTTTATAGTGAATGTGATTCAACTTTCATTTCATCACATCTGGTTAAACATATTTTGCATAACCAGTCACAATCAGAGAGCATATAGACCCACTTTGGTTATGCCATGCCATTTGTGCATTGTTTTGGTATCACATTATATTTGAAGCTTGTGAAAGCACTGTTCATTTCTTGCTATGTGCTGATCAGTTCAGCATTTATTTCTTTTTCCACTCTTTGGGTCTGCTAAAAAGTGTTAGTAAATGTCGTGCAATAGTAGGAGCTTTGAGTTTATCGGCTATGGGTCTTAGCTAATCTCCATGACTTTTGCTTTTACAGATTACTGTGAGTGTTATGGTGTGAACTCCAAAGGACAGCCGACACTGCAGGTTGTCACTGTGAAGTAATAGGTGGATCCTTACCACATTTGTGTCAGTTCAACTCCTAGCTTAGGGGCACAACAGCCTGCCATCAAGCAAGGTTTGGCCCCCTTCCCCTCTTCGCCCTTATCGTGCCTTTAATTCACATCTCAAATGTCTCAGATTACTTTTCTCAGAAAGTTTCCACGCATATAAGGCTGTTGTCACGGAGTGATAACAATCTTTTTGTCCTCTTTAAAAGACTAAGAACCTCACATGAAGAAAGGCAGAAAAATGACCCTCTTGATATTATTCACATTGAGTAAATGATCACATTCCCTCTCAACAAGAGAGTCAAAATTGCACACAAAATTCAACATGATCACAAAAATCTACAATTATAACAACATTATCAAATCGAAGGCATAAAAACATGACATATTGTGAGGCCTTTCCAATAAAAGTGAAGCAAAATGAGGCAAAACTAAATATTCTCTCTCTACCCTTCAGTGCATCAATTTTAAAACCCCATTTTCTCACATAAAGCCTGTAAATATGCAGAACATTCACAACAACTTAAGAATGTCAAAATTCTTTCAAATATAAACTGACCTTATCAATAACCTCAACTTGAGGATCCAAAACGTTTTAAAGTATATACTGAATGTGTTAGGAATATCAACTTTAAGGCCTTCGTGCCAACATTAAGCTTTTATTTGCAGTCTAACTCGCACATAGAGCTGATGCCTATATTGAGAAAAACTCACATAGTAAACAAATTTTCAGGTCCCAAATTTCTTTTTAAACATTCTTTGTATTCAAAATATGCACATAGCATAAACATGTGAGGGTAGCACTAATTAAACACAACTGCAAATTTCCATCACCGAAGTAGCCATGCTGCGTGTATGTGTGTGTGTGTGTGTGTGAGAGAGAGAGTGAGAGAGAGAGAGAGAGAGAGAGAGAGAGAGAGGTGGGGGGGGGAACAGGCATGGTGTGAGTGCAGGCCAACGTTCTTGCTATAAGCCAAGGGCAATAGTGTAGGCCGTTGACCTGTTTATTACATACATCACTGAAGTGTTCAATGGTGAATCTAACCTACACACTTCAGTTACGTATTGGGAGTATGTGGTCACGTGAAGGCATGTATTCGATTATATCGATTGTTGCCTTGTGTATCAACACTCTTCATTTTCAACAGAGATTACACACGACGAAACAGCTTTCTGACATTCTGCAAAGTTAGTTTTCTGTGAAGTTTTGGTACAGAGTGGACCATTGCGGAGCAACAGAAGCCAGAAAGCTTGTCCTAGCAGATGTGAAGTCAATATATGAAAAACCCAAATCTGCTCGGCATAGGGGTATAATTAATTTAAATTTTAGGCCCAGAAGTCCAAATTTGTCCACCTCCCTTGATACAGCTTGAAATTCATAATTAGCAAAATTCATACATAATGAAAAGATTTCTGACCCAACAGATGTTTTTAAAAAAATGCGTTCTAAATCATAACAAAATCCAACAACTGCAAAAAAAAAAGTACCTTCCACTGCTTTCTATTACTCCCTTGACTTTATTTGCTTATTTTTAGAGTGCTCATATCACTTTCAAAGCTTGTTTGGTGCAGAGCAAAATCTGATAGGACATTCTGTCTAGTAAGGGAAAGAATATCCAAAGGAGGAGCATCTGCTAAAATTCTTTGAGCCTCATCTAAATCACCCAGCCCTTCAATGCCCCCATTTTCACAGTTTGTGTCTTCTGCATTGGAAGCCTGGCCTATTTGTATGGCTGGCTCGACTTGTCTATTGTCTGCCTCTGGTGCTGGAACAACTGACGGTCCTGCAGGGGGGGGTCTCCTTTGCTTTGTTGCACCGACGGAGGGGGGCTCATACCACTTATCCTTGTTTCCAAACAGATACCTGAAAAAGACATTATAGGCAGATTTTAGAGAAGTATTGTCAAGCAAAAGCATTCTTACAAAAACAACAACTGATTAGTTGACATATCAATCAGTAAAACAAAAAGGCTTTGAGAATGTCAAGATATAATACCCAAAAATGATATGTATATATATATATATACAAAAAGTATTGGGATGTTACTTTCTAGAAGTTGGAGCATCTTTTGATTAGATTGTTTTATGTTGTTTCGTTTTTTCTCATAATTCGTCATAAATGTCTGTTTGCCTGCACTACAACTGTATCCTCACACTGTATAAAAATCCTCATTTTCCCCCAAAAGATTTCAGTGAATAATACATGATTCTAGCTTGAAATCTATCTTTTTCATGCTACAAATTCTAAAGTATTTTTATTTCACAATGTATTGCTTTAACAAAGCAGGGAAAATGTTTACAACTTGTAAAAGTTGATTTTGCGTCTCAAGATGGCATCATCATACGAATTTGAGAATCTTAGAAACTGTAAAATGAGGCTTCAATAAAATCATCACATACCCATTTTTTGTACAGCAATTAACATATATCAAAGAATAAAATCTCTCTTCAGCGAGTGTTGAATATAAAATGGTATGACTTGCTTTATTGAATCCTTTTCACTGACAAGTGAAGCCTCAGCTTTTTCACACGAGATGCTCACAATCAAAACACAAAAGAGAAGTATGCTAGAAGCAAGTAGTGATGTCAATCTTGAAGGCTTATACACCACCATTTATTTGGTATCATAAAAACAGCGTGTAAACCGACTCGCGGCCTTCTAATTCTTAGCGCTTGGTTTCGGTGAAATCATAGTAATTCAGATCGCTGTTTCTTTTCTCTGTTGCTATAAAGCCCCAAATACTGTAGGCCTACACCAGGAGAAATTTCAGCGGGGACCGGCACGATGCTGACCGGGACAGGGCTTGGTGTTTTTGTTGAAAAAAAGACAAATCTCGCAATGCTCTCAGTCTTGAAAAAATTTAGCTCCAAATCTATGTTATTGTGATTGTTCCTTGTGTAGAAGTTTGGTGCACTTGGTACTGTCAAAAATGGGGTTGCAGCCATTTAGCGAATTGCAATATTTGACTACATCAAAACCCCTGCCATTTTCTTAAAAAATGACTGAGGGGTAAAAGAATAGTACCACAATCCTCAGGAGACACAGGCCATTCATAAATGGAAGAGATAAATTTGTTATACAGCTACTTTGAAAATTTAATTTCTGGGACCTATAAATATAAGACACTAAACGGCACCAATGCTAGCCTAGGGAGACAATTTGAAAATATAACAACACATGTTTTCAGAACAGTGTATTGATGGTTTAACGTTCCGTTTCACACCTTTGGTTTATCCGATTGGTGGGACCTTTGAATTTAATGTTTGTCTCTGACAGGACTAAATCAAAAGAGGAGAGTCTTCAAAACTCTGTAATCAACCTGAGTACTTAAGTGCCCCATTGTGGATTTGAACCAGGGTCATAGGTATAACAGCAAAGCATGATACTAACAGAGCAAACAGTGTGCATACTTGTCACAGGAGAAATATTCTTGCAAAATGGATCATAAAACTACAGTTAAAGACAAAGTACTAAAAACTTACTCTTTAAAGTCATGAGGCTGAATATCAGCGCATTTACATCCTTTCTCAGAAGCATCTTTCCACTTCCAATTCGACTTGAGAGATGGACAGTGCAAATTTTCACGGCAAAGCACAACAAATGGTGTGTACTTATATATCAGCAATGTTCCAATAGAGTTGTCACATTCTTTCTCTTTGCAGAAGACTTTTGCGATAAAACGGAGTTCAGAAACATTTTTTGGTCTCTGATACAGCAGTTCAATGTTGTCAAGAAAGTCTCTGAAAAATATAAACAATTAAATGAAACATGGGATGAGGTAAGAGGAGAAAGGCTTAAAAAGACAGAAGAAGTAAAAAAGGAAGTGTGAGGAAGAATAGAGTAAAAACAAATTTCTCAAGAACAGTTCCATGAAAAGCGAACATTACGGTACTGTTCTCATAACTGACCCTTCCCAGCAACCAAAAACGAATATTTTTCAACCGATATATATGTGACGCGTCACGACAGTTCGGCCCACCAGGTACATACATGAAGCCGAAGAGCAGAAATGGCCAAAAACATTTGTTGGGGCTAAATATGAGCAATTTTTTTTTTTTAAAACTTTATAAGACTTTTGAATGACTTTTCTGTTGGAATATATCAAAACATAATCTTAAAATTTTTTTTGCTGTGAAATGTGTTTTGAAAGCTATTTTGGTGAATGTCTTCACCTCCTCTGGGCTCCTGACTCTTTCTGCAGCCTTTCTAATGCTACTCCTTGGCTCCTCCTTACTGCTGTCTTTCTGCCACACCCCTGATCTTCTGGTAGGAAAGATCTACACCTACCCTTTTCGGACAAGGGCGAAAAATCTCGGAGGGCCTGTGTGCAAGTTGCGCACGTTAAAGATCCCTTGGTGGTCTAAAATCGATAAGAGTAGGCTTCGGCCGCCACCCGGGCAAAATTCAAAATTTCCTACCAACTGAAAATATTAGGAGTGTCCCGCGCGCTCATATGACCTATGCAGTTGCGAGCGCCGTAAAACACTTTACAAAAACAAAACAAAGAATGTCTTCATTCTGTGATATAATATTATGTAACACTTAGTACCTGCTTTACAGCTTTAGTACATTAGTATCTTTCGAAATTTACCTGGCAAACCGGATAGACTGGTAAGAAAGAATCCTTAGCTTTCCCTTGAGACCTATTTTAAGCCCTTGGGATCCCCTTTAAGGCCAACAAAGGAGCTTGAAAGAAAGCTTGCATTTGTAAACATCTCAACAACCTCCTTAGAGACGAAGACGAACTCCCTTGTTTCTGATCCTCCCCTTGGCTCAAAGCTTTTTAGGCACATTAAAAAGGCGTCAAGATATGATTCAGTCAGTGATGCCCTAATGAAGACGAGAAACTCAAATATTCGTGGGGAGAATTTACTCTGTTTAACAAATTTTAATATCACATAATATTATTCTATTATTGTTATTATAACTTTTGTCTGTCTGCAAACTGTTGTTCAAGTGAAGAGACATATGTCGCAGCTATTAGAACAGTTTTATTTTTGGTTTCTGTTATTCGTCTCTTGCAACACTGTAAGTCGGTCATTTGGTCGCTTTTAAGGACCAGCGGGCTAACCCAGATTTCCTGGGTTTTCAGAAATCTTGACCTTCACCAAGAGTGGGTATTGCTCTACCTGTAAGAGAAGTTTGGTTTCATTGGTGTGTACATGTATATGTTTGGTTACTGAGAAAACTCTCCTAGTCTTTTTAAGAAACCGAACAAGGAGCAAAAACATTACCTTCGATTTTCTCAAAACAGCATTTTTCGGGATAGCCCCTTTGTGCTTAAAAGTGACCATTTAAGAGATGGGTTACTTCAACCCTGCCTGTCAGGGCTACTTGGGCCAAGAGGGAAGAATCCCAGCAGAAAAACACAAATGCTCATACCATCATGGGAATCAAACTAGAGCCCTCTGCATGATAGGCAAAGAGCCTTATCATAGCACCACAGACGCCGGGTTCTGTGCAGTCAAGGCAAATGTTTTGGGGCCTTATAAATAAAGTTCCCAAATGTTGTCCTAGATTTCTTGATTTTTGGTTTTTACACCTGGAAACACTGTAAGGTAATTTAAGAGGCGGGATACTTTGTATCTGCCTGTCAGGGCCAATCTGGGCTGAGAGGGACTTTAGGCTAAATCCTAGCAGAGAGACAAAACATGCTTGATTAAAAATTTGCTCCATGTTGGCCTTGACTCAAACTCCTGCTCTCTGCATGATAGATGAAGAGCCAAACTATTGCACCATAGAAGTTGGTCCTACTGTTGTATATCCTGTATATTTCATTTGTGTTTATTATATCTTTCAATGTCTGTTCAAGTACTGACATTTAGAAGCATGAGTAATTACAGCTCTTTATGTTAGCTCTTCTTCCGTCTTTAAAAAAAAATTGTTTTGTTTAAGTTCCGGTGCCCTTGAGAAAACACTCTGAAAAACAAAACTATTAAAGCAAATGCTTTGAAAATTGGTGAGTATATTGGCATTGAAACATTTAACATGCGTGCCAAATTTAATGAACCCAGCATTATTAGAAGATTTCTGTTGCTATGGAGACATTTGTCAAATCTTTGATAGCAAATAACTCAGTATTATGACCCGGACAGCAGGGGAGCATTCCAGTACTGAATCGTGCTTCATTCTCTTAAATATTATTGTATTCATTTGATATTGGTGTCATATGAAGGGGAATTATGTCCTCTCTGCATCTCTCATTCTCTGCCTAAAACCCAAATTATGAAATGTGTACCTAGTGGACCAAACCGTCAGGACTCTTCACTTCACATATGCTTTTTAACACTTTGACCATTCTCTATTTGACAATGACAATGACAATCTTTTAAATTCATCACATTTAAAGTTCATACAAATGTTTTAAAGTTTTTGTACCAAAATTGTACTGATTCTAAGCTTGGGGAGAAAATATAATTCTCAAAGTTTCAAAGTCATCTGTCAATTTGATGGTCTTGAAAATAAATACGGTTGTGTTGAATTTCTTTTTAAAAATTGCCTAACACTCGTCAATGATTCCAGTACCACAAAAACAATGACTATACTGTTTGCTTTTTGGAAAGCTTAACTCTTTTTATCCAGGCCATACCCCCATGGACTCTGTACCCGTCCTGGGTTCGCTGCACCATATGATTTACAATTCAGTGTGTATATTTCAAAGTGCTGTATTTCTAATATTTACTCTTAGATTTTAAGGAAATATGGCAGTTATGTTAGAAATTGAATGTAGTATCTGAAAATGTATGTGGTCCCCCCCAAATAGACCCACCTCTTCGTGGTGGGGGGGATAAGTGCTCTTCGAATAGGAAAAGAAAAAGAGGAAGCTAACGGGTCAAGGGGTGACCCCGAAAAGAGACATATTACTTTACTATGTTTCTTACTCTTTCTATTTATTGTCTTTATTGTTTTACTTTATTACATTTATTAGCTTTTCTTTTCTCCTCTCTCCACCGACAACCTTTCTTTGACCTGGAGTTGGGACGGGTATTGGTGGGGTAGAAAGCAGAGGTTCATTGTCAGCACTGTACTGGATGTGACTTTACGTAGGGAATACCCAGCTCCATACATGTATTAAGCATGCACTTATCGGAGAGCCCTATGACTGCGGAGAAGGTGCAGAGACCATTTGCGTCTTGCTTGTTGACAACATTAGCCC